TTCAAATCTTGTAAAACAATGTTCGCCAGTATGGGGGACAAAGGAGAACCCATTGGCATGCCAAAAATCTGTTTAAATATTTTATTATCAAAACTTTTCTTGATATGACAATTGGCGTTGTAACATTACTGTATGAAGCATCTTCACATATAAAAGAACATGTTTATTTAATTACAACTCTCGACTGTTGAATTTAATGTCAACTAGATGTAACTCTGCGTTTTAAGAATATTATTGAATTACTGAAGATGGCCAGATTGTAGCCGAAACGTTTAATGTTTTAATTAATGTAATAATAATTAAATATCACAAACTATAACTTGTGCTGTGGTTTTTTATGCTCTTATTTTTTATTTTGTTATATGTCTACCTTATAAACGTCGTAGAATCCAATAATACTGTCGAAGGTACTGTACAAATCATTCAGGAAATCCACGACCTCCATAGGTGTACTCTGCGCGCATAGCGCCGTGAAACCAACGATATCGCTGAAATAGATAGTGACGCATTCAAACTGCTCTGGTTGCACCATCTCCCCAGCCATTAACTGACCGGCGACTTGTCTTAAAAAAAAAAAAATACTATTAAAAAGGGTGAAATGCCGAGAAACTAGACAAAGCAACGATGAACGATTTCGATACCTCGGAAGCACCTGGTATAGCAATTCCTCGCTGCGACGCTTCTCCAAACTCAATTGTTCGGTCTTCTCCTCGACGAGCGCCTCCAAGTTGTTGGCGTATTGCTCCATTCGCCGTAGTAGATCGTCCATTAAATTCTCGCAATATCCTCTGAAAAGCGAATGCAATTTTTTGTATAATATATTTGTTTATATATTTTTACATTTATATTTTCTATAATATAATTTAAGGTAATGGTATACGAGCGACTCAATCGTGGAGAGAGGATAACAAGATATATAATAATATAAATATATTTAAAAGACAAAGCATGATATGACGTGAATGAGTCGTCATTGCAGTTAATTGAAAATACACTATCGTTCTCCTGATTTGAAATAAAAGTACTTCATGATTCCTCGTATTATGCCGCGAATGGTGTGAAAGCTGGGTCGTTCGTCAGGAACTTCGTGCCAACACTTCTCCATCAATGAGAGTATATCCGGCGGACAGTCCTTCGGCGTGACTTCCGGCCTTAAAGGAGGATTCTCCGACGCTGATACTCTGTTCACGATCTTCGTAGCAAAGGCATCAAAATAATAAAGAAATCGCGTTAAAATTAGAGTTAAAAAAAAAGAATGAAATGGATCACACCTCTTGCGCCGTCATAAAAGTCCTAGTTATCTCGTACGGACCACCGCGGACCACTATCTCCTCCAGGATAATTGCGAAACTGTAAACGTCGCCCTTCTGCGTCGCGGCGCTTCCGGGTGTTATCGTTAATGGCAGGAGTTCCGGAGCGATCCAAAGTAATTCTGCAAATAAAGATTCTATTGTCAACTTTTAATACATCACTCATATATTCTTTTTAAATTCTTTATGTGTGGAATCTCACCTTAAAGAATAAAAATTGAATCAGTCTTGAAAAAGAGTGGAAACGATTTTTAATTTTTAAGAGTGAGATTTCACTCTTCAGAATGACAATTCACTTTTCAAAAGTTTTAAAAAGTTTATATTTTTTTGCAACTTACTGATGTAATAACTCTCGTCCATAATCAATTCGGAAGGTGTGGTGAGAGTTTTGAGACCGAAATCCGAAATTTTTAATACGAAACGACCGTCGATTAGGCAATTACATGATCGTAATTTTCCATGGGCGGAAACCTCGCTGGCATGAAGATAAGACATTCCCTGCGAGGAAGCAATCTCTTTATCGTTTTCGCTTCATCATGCTTATTCATGATGTTCCATTTAATTACAACGCTCTATTATAAATTAATGTAATATTAATTAAGATGCAATTAAATTATAAAAATAGTTAAATATGTTGAGATACATTCAATAATTTAACGAAAAACACAACTTCTGCACCTGCATCTACCTTGACGATATCGTGGATCAGGGACATTCGAAAATTCCAATCCAACTTAATTGCTTCATTTTCCAGAACATCCTTCAACGATCCTCGAGGACAATATTCGGTAAGAATTAAGACAGTCGGTGATGGCGAACAGAGGCAAGCCCCGATAAATCTAGCGAGCAATTAAATTTATTAATAAATAGCAAGAAATTGAGTTTAAAACAGCAACGTTACATTGTTGAATATTTATGCTATCAAAGAAATCTTGTGAATGGTCATCCTTTTATTATCTACGAGAAAGAAAAACACGGAGAAAAATTGTTTCTACTGTTAAAAGACAAACCTCACGGTGTTTTCTGACGTGACGTCCCTGACCTGTTTGATTTCCCAAAGCAATTTCTTTGTCACATCGACTACTTTCTTCTTCGTGACCTTCTTGATAGCTACTCTCTCACCCTTGTATATCCCAATAGTGGTAAAAACCGTCGTTGGCGGCAATGATTCGCAACTAATCTGCGAACCGCGACGTATCCTCTGTTCCAATCCGTAATTCTATGATTAAATAAAAGAATCAGTTAAGTTTTACGATTTATAAATCATATATAATTTTATTTTTACTTTATAATAAATAAAATTAAGCAATCTCTTATTGTTCTGCGCACGTTATATTCATAATTTATCGCTCACGTTTGCGTCGGATATCGCTTGGTGTAGATTTATCTTCGATGAGAATTGCTTCCCAACTTCTAGAAGCAATTCCTCAGGTCTCACACGCCAGGACATATTATTGAGATCGGCAGATAACCGCAAATGTCTATGCAAAGAAATGTTTTCACGTCGATAAATTTTATATTCTATTATAATTTTATATTCTTCACAAATATTTACATTAAAAAATTCTACGTTCTATTGTTATGCCAGAACTTTTTAGTATCGACATCTTTTTTTTATTTCTTTACATATTATTATTCAAAACTCCTGGATCGCACAAATATAAAATTTGATGAATCACATGAAGCATACCTGTATAATAGACACGCGGCTGTAATCGCAATTAGTAGAAACACAGCGAGCGCTATGCCTGTGTAAGCTACAAACGTATAAGCTTCTCTTCTTGACGTGCAATCCGGATCATTTCCTAAAAAACCACACTCCGGAATATCTAGCGGGGGTCCTTCCCTTCCACCTGGCCAATGGATCTTCTTGCCAGTCATAGGGCTATATTCTCGATTTAATCCTAAATAATGAGCAACTACTTCGAATCTGTAAGATGTCAATATCTTATCTTTGGCATTTTTGTTATGTGGTGTTCTTTTTATAAAAATGCAACATCAATGATAATTTTATATTAATTGATTCTCTCTTCATATCTTTATAGAATTTTTTCCTTTAACATATATAAACAAATTTGTCTTCCTTAATAACAAGATAATCTGTGACATTTAATTTAGAAAAACATTCTAGTTCCTAAACCGTCTAATTGTGAATTTGCGAGATGCATCTTGATAGATATAAATGATAAAATCGCGTGGAACGAATGGCATGAATTTTAAGTGACCTTCCGGTAATGGGATCTAAATCAAGAATGCTGTAATCCGCGTCACGATCCCCATTGTCATCTATCCTGACGTGACCTGTAATGCCCATAAAGTTTCGGTCCCACATTTTTCTCGTTATAGATATGCCGTCCCTTATATCTCCATCTTCGGCCAAGGTCTCGTTCAACGCGATTCCTAACAAGTAAACACCATCGTAAAATGCTCCGACGAAGAAATTCACCTGTGAAAAAAAGCAAGAAATTCATTTCACCCGCTTGGATTAATTTTCTTGATTGATAATATTGTACCCTTAAATGCTTTGTCTAAAAAAGCAACTTTATTATGTCCTTAGGACTCTATATTATAGAATTATTATTTTAATAAACTCACTTCTTCGTCCTCTAAAAATGAATAATTGTAATTGGTTTGCGCACGATGCTTGACGTTATCGGCGAAATCTTGAAATCGTGGGCTAGTCGGTTGAAGAAGAGACACCCTCAGTAAAGCCTCGTAAGCCTTCCTGGCAGTGGCATCGTCCTCATCCCCAACCTCCCAGTCATGATCGCCCCAGTACGAACCCTTAAAATTTATTTAAATTGATTTAACACTAATGAGTGTCAACTGTGATAATCAGTTGCTGTCACGTTGATGTATGACGGATTTAGAATAGTCTTTTCTCATTTATTATAGCGCCTTACGTGAAATATCTCGACATCGAAAAAAGCCCAATCCCCTCTTGTCATTCCTAATTCGTGGGCAGCCAGCATAAATCTTCTGACGAGCGTTCCGCGAACGCTGAGTATCACAACTGTTCAAAATTATTATCTTTTAAGTTGCTGTTAAAAACACAGCATCTTAGCATCGCGATTTTTCGTCATCACGTGGAAATATTTTTACACTGAATGTTTCAGAATTCGATTAAAGATATATTACAATTATATGTATTTCTTAACAAAATATGAACTAAAAAAAATATTTAAAAATTATCAATTTTTCTATGTTATATTTAATACAAATGTTTGACGATTTAAAATCTAAATAAAAAATTATTTCAGTAAAAAATAAACATATTCTTAAACAATAATTAAGATAAAATGAGAAAATGTTTATTTAAATTATAAAATTGTATTGTCAAATATAAATATTGAATTATTGAATCGTTTAATATGTATATAACATTCATTTTTTTCGAAAAGTTTTCCAATTTTAGGCACTTTTTAGAGACTGTACATTTGATATATCTTTAATGACATAAAAGAGAGATTTATCTAAGAAAAAATTCAGAGTTAATTTAAGTCTTTCACAGGACACCCTGCAAGTATAAGACAAAAGCGATCACTCACTTCTAGCGTACATGCTCGCGTCGCGCAGGTAAAGGTGATATGACTCGTCCTCGGAGTTTCCGTCTAACTCCCTTACGAATTTTAAAAGTCCATCCTTATGCAGACCGTACTCCAGATTCTTCCCTACCGTCAGCGAAAACAAGTCCGACCTGTCCAGTATAAGCGCGAGGGAGCCGCAATCGGCACTGGCAGTACGACATCCTCGTTAAAGTGGGATACTTGCTTTTGTCTTTAAAAATTCCCTTCGAGAATTAAGAAGATGAAAAATATGTTATGACAAAAAATCCATCCTGTGACGATAGGAAGAGATCGCGACGAGAAAAAATATCTAGACTCTATTGAGTATGTAAGAGTTTATTTCTATAGTCAAAACAATATGTCAAAAATTCATATCAATTATTATATAATTTGTGATAATATATTAGATATATATAAATAATTAAGTAGAATATGGTGGTAATTATTATGAAAAATTGAAGAAACCTTTGATATCATTATCATAATTCTGAGCTTAATGAATTTTACGAGGGCTAAAGTAACATTATGCGGAGAATTTATATTTCTTATACCGTTCTCTGTAATTAGCGCGTAGCTAATTAGGATATTAATAATATTACGTTTAAAAAATAAAATATCAGATGAACTGCAACATTAACTATCATGAATGCTTACACTGGAAAAAGAGTCTGGTTGCATTAATTGGAATTCTGATTTAAAATGAACAAATTTTGATTGATCAGAATCTTCTGGTTCGTTCACTTTTAACCAGAAATTTTTCTCAATAAAACAATGCAGCAATTGGAACAACAGAAAGAAAAAAAAAGATTCGAAAAGACTCTTTCGCAGCTTCTTACCGACGTTTCATTCTTCCATTTATGGATCCTTCCAAGGATACCGGACGTGACCGACAGTTCGCCTTCCGAGGGAGGCTTGGTTCGCAAGAAAGCGATAATCACGTAATGAGTATCACATAAATGAGTATTAACACACAATACGTGGCGATTCGTCTTAATATCAGAGCGTACAATGCGACATCAAAAACATTAGTACAAAGTAGGGGAAGCAAAAATGGGGGATCAATCTAATTTAACACAATTTTACGCAATTTTGTAATTACAATTATTGGCGCAATAGAGTTTCTCTAATCGAATAGACTTCAGAGAATAGTCATCATTGTTGCGAGATTAATTAATGTTAAATGCTGAGTTATGCAAATGCAAAGGTCTAAGTTAATTGACTGGACGAAAATTTACTGGGTATTTACTGCTAGTAATCAAACGTTGACACGTGTATCAGCAGCGCGAAAGTAAGTGCGACTTACTTGATCACCCATGCCGGTGATAATTGGACTGTTCCAGTAGGCTGCGAGACGTGCCACAGGTTCCAGGGCGAAGGCGCAAGCCGGTCCAACGAATGCGATGACGTTGTCACGAAAATGCATGTCCGCTGCTAAACCGGGTGCCCTCGCTCCGCTGCAGGTCGGATAGCTGAGAAATTCGAACATTCGTCGTTGACGAATATCTATCCGTATCTCACATTTTGTGATTAAAATTAACACAATAATTATTAAATCTCGATGTTGTCAAGTACGATGCAAAAGATTTTTATTATTTTTTTCCAACAAGTTTTTTTTAATTTAATTATAATATAAAATTATAGCTATTTATTGTTTAACGATTTAATCGTAAATACCGCTTCTCTTATACTTTTAATTGATTTATGGCTACTTAGCAAAAAATTCTGATTGTATATTAAGGAATTAAATTATTGTATAGGTTTGAAGAAATAGAATTTTGTGCACTCTTTGAAAAATTATATATATGTGTACAATTATAAATGAAATTTTAAACCGATAAAATCAAATAAGAGGAGGAATTTTATTTTTGATCAAAGCGGATTAATTTAATTGGAGCTTGATATTGCAAATACATTTTTTGCAATAAATTCTTTGCAAATTTGCAAATATATTTTTTGCAATAAATTCTTTGTAGTGATTTATGCTGCCTATTAGCATTATTAAATTAATTGATGTAATTTGTGATGTTATTTCCAGTTCCAGCTTATCATTGCGTTTCAAGTCCGACAAATTGAATTGGAACGCAATTTATAGAATTTAAACATGTACTTGTAAATTTGCATATGAATATTAACAAGCAATAAGATTCATTTCGGTTGAAAAGAGGATTTTTTTCTTACTTAATGTATTCTATATTTTTTCCTATTATTATATTATGAATTTTAATTAGGAAAATAAATTAAATTAATGAGTGAACTGTTATCTCAAAATGATGAAATTAACACAGTTTTTTATCAGATTATTTCAAATTTGATATACATTTCAACAATTGATATACATTCTCATGGAGTGAATTTTAGAACATTTAGCCCTTTATTGATAAGATAAAAAATCGTTTTTTCCTATGAAATTTTATTCTCGCAAAGTGAAAGTGTATTATTTTCAGAGATATTATTTCATTTTTCGAAAAACAACATAACTTTAATATTTTTTAAATATATTTACAAGATGCATAATATATATATATTTACAAGTAGTCAATGATATAAATTTTGAAACATGAGAATACTCATTTCTTTAGCTAAATAAAAACCATGTGCTTATCCTTCGACAACGATTCAATTTTCGTTAATAGAAATGTACAATCCTGCATTGATATGGAAATATATGCGTGCATGGTTAATATCAATCTGTGAAAACGCACAAAGTGGATGTATATGATGGATCGTATACATCATGTATTAAAGCGCAAACATAATACGATCGGATTACTGGGGGTGGATGCGATATAGGGATTCGCTTGGATACATATTCTCCCGCTCTCTTGTGCAGTTACACGTGACGTACATACAGTATTCGCTGATATCTGCGTCCTTGAGGAGCGAAATGCGTATTTCGGTGTGAATATTCTGTATACGCGCGTACGAGCAATTAGCTACGAATGGCAACAATAATCACGATGCATTCGACACACCGGGATAGGGACGCGTTGCGCGAGCAACAGCTCGAGATAATGGCGCATTAATTGTACCCGATGAATGGCCAATGATTGAATTCCCATCGATCTGCGCTAATTGAAAATGTTGGGAATGCGGCGCGGCGCGCAGAAATGTCGCGGTCCTGCTGCATCTCTCGTAAATGTTTGCAATGACAATGCAGATTGGGGAATTTTGATTTGCGAGAAAAGAATTTAATTATTGCGTCACCATCGCCGCGTACGAAATGTTATCGTCAACCAAAATGAATGTTGGGATTTTTGTCGAAAGTTAATTCTTTACTGAAATAATGCTTATAACATACACGGAGAGAATTCTTTTAAAATTTATCCTGAAAATATGGTAGTTGTGGTACAATATAATATTTTAAAGATTTTTACCAAGATTTGCACTTCAATAAAATTGATCAAACTTATTTTATACTTTATTGTAGTCTTATTAATGAATGAAAGAGATTTACATTAAAATTCTTCGAAGTACAATGTTGTCCCATGCCTGTCATATTTTCAGGGTAAATTCTAAGAAAAAATTCTTTCTGTGTATAAAGATTATGGCACATACAAAATTTAAGCAATAATACGTAAGTAATAAGCAAATAAATATTTTAGATTTGCTATTGCTTACATCTTATTGATGCCTTACTCTTTTGCGTAGCTTTAAGTAGCACAAAGCGCTTCCAAAGAGTTAAAAAAGTGTATTTAAGCGCTTTTTTTTAACACTTTGCAGGCGCTACTTGAGAATTCTCGTACAACAGATGATAATTGTCAATTGTTAGAATTTTCGTTGGGGATTAATTTATTAAAAGAATGACTGTTTTACATTGCATAATTAAACGCCGTTGTGTAAAAGCGCGACATTTCGATGTTATTACTGAAATGGTAATTATAACGTGATTATAATGTTTAATTCACGAGCAACAAATAATATATGATTGTAAATGAATTGTTGAAATTTTGTAGAAAATTAATTATTAACTTTGTTGAAATTTTATAGAAAATTAATTATTAACTTTTAAAGAGAGCAGAGAATTATTTTTAAAATCTTACAATTTTTTCTTGAATAAAATTTGTTATAATTTATTATTTCATTATTCCTTTCCCCAAAATATAGCATTATTATTTCTACATTATAGTGACTTTCTTGTCCTGTAAAGATTAAAAGAATGGCCGTTTTACAATTAATTAAATGTCCTTATAAAGACGCAATTCTTTGGTGAAATGGTGATTATGAATAATATCTGTTGAATGTGGATTAACACGTGTAATCCTCATTCACTAGATAATATATAATTGTCAATAAATTGTTGAAATTTTTACGAATTTTTTAGTTCATTAGATTTTTCAAAGAACGATTGTGTTTTTTACATGTAAATTTACATCACATTTAATAAAATGCTTAATAAAGATACTTACATTATAGCAAATAGATATACATTATATAGTAAATAGATTATATTAACATTATAGCAGTAGTAATTATAATTATAATACATATAATTAAAGTTACATTATCCCAAAAATTTTCTTCTCAATGAACAACGTGTGTAATTCACATTCAAGAAACAATATATAGGTAAATATTAATAAATTGTCAAAATTTTTATTGAAAATTAATTCATTAGAAGACTATCTAATCATTTTATGTTGCAGTTAATTAAATGCCATTATAAAGACGCGGCATTTCGATGCTGTTGCTGAAATAGTGATTACAACTATGTGTAATCCACGCGCAACAGATGATATACACCACGTAACGTAGACTTATGCCCGTATTCATAGTCATCTTGTATTTAAGGCTTCCTTAAATTTATCTTTAGATACGTAGCAGCCAATGAAATAATTCGTAGAGTATCTAAAGATAAATTTAAGAAAGTCTTAAATATAAAGCTTAACTACGAGTAATAGGCGCGGCGGTACATATTCTGTATGCACGTGAATACATTTTTTATACGATGTTTATATGAAGAGAAATGGATGATCGATATAACAAGTGTCGTACGTAAAAAATAATTTTCACTTGTAGATAATTCGTTCTTCTTTCCCGCTGACCTCGAGAGGATTGAGCAGTTGTATGGTCAATATCGTGAACGCGTCTTTCCATGCAAATGCCTGTTCAATTGTATCAATGTAATGACGCAAAAGAGGTGAGCAGCGAAATGGATTATAACGCATGAAATATAACGAGACGACTGAAACTGAGATATAACATATCACAATGCAGAAAATAACGACATTTTATATTATATTTTATCTGATGTAATGAAATATCTTCTTTTTTTATTTACGTCGACATTATATGTGACTATTTCTAGACTTGATTTCAAATATTTTTATAATATATATATTTTTATATTTTTTCCCGATTCTTCTTCGACCGTATTTTTTCCCCTGATGTGTGAGCAACGACGACAAAACAGCAGAAAATATAAAATGGCCAAATAAAAATGGCAGAACCACGTATTACGAATAAACGGTCCATTAAAAGGACATTTCATAAGAGAAAATTACGACGAGAAACTTTTATGCAGCTTTCATCCGATACATATTTTTTATTATCGTGCAATGAGGAAATTATAGATCGCGATTGTTAAATTAATTCGATAGATGAATTCGATAATTGTCTTTGTTGTTTTTTCAGCTTTGATTGATATAACATCTGAAATGATAGATGATCTTCTTTCTTTTGTTTTCCGATAATAACAATTTATACTACGTTTCGATTTATGTCGAAGTTATAACATCGATGTTATAACTTCGGCATAAATCGAGCCAAATAAACGTGTAATCAATATTGAGCATAAAGTTATTGTATACCTTCCTTGGACTTTGCGCAGCTGCACGTTGTGAACTTTCAGGAATTCGTTCACTTCTTCCAAAGCCAGATCGACAGCTGGACCACATCGCTCAAGATCAAACGGGCTGTCAAGATGGGATGCCATAAGTACGCCCACGTTATACACCCGCAGAGGATTTCCGTAATCCACTGCGAAGTGGATCAAAAGACGTGAATTCGTCGAGTCGCGAATGCAGATATCGACAACCATTCAAACGCTTAATTAAAAGTAATGCTGTTTGAACGAGGGCTTGAAACTGAAGATGAACGTAATGGAGAATAATACCCTTTTATTTTTAGTATTTATACGAGAGATCTACCTATTACTTTGAAAGTCCCTGCAAATTTATTTCAAAGCTGCTTATAGATATTACTTATCAAGATATTCCTTGAAATAAAATACTATAATATATTAGAAAAATATTAGATATATTTTTTATAGGCGCTTAAATTAAATAAAATAAAATATTCTGTAAATTAAACAATGGAAGTTTTATAATTAAAAAGTTACGACTGCTGGAATAACTTAAGACTCGAAATTGAAATGAGGCCAAGACGTTAATTCGCGCGATTACGCATCAAAAATACCATTGAAGTGTCGCTATTTGTTGGAGAAATCACATAGAAAATACATTCGTTTTATTCATACGCGCGATTACACAGAGTGAAAAGCAAGAAGGGACGTAGAATACTGAAACTACAAGCCATGCATACTCAATGAGCTTATTCCCGCCATCGGGATAGAAATTTCGAAAGAAACACGTCGATAAAATCGTGCAAAATATTCTTAACAAATGCGTTTATTAAATAGTAGAATAAAATATTGATATACAGGTTGTATATTGAAATGTTTATCAGCACTTTTGAATAATATGTCGGTAAACTTTTGATAAAAGAAAATCGATGGACATAGATATTTTTCAAAAAATAAAATCTTGCCAGTGGAATACATATTTCTTGAAGTACCTCATTTAAATGTAAGTAATAGATTGTTATAATTCGTTAATATTTATAAGCATTTTAATTGCACTTGAGTAATTTTTTTTAAGGAAAATTATCCTTTTCTTTTCTGTTACCAGTATATTGCAACGGTAAAGAAAAAATAGCGCAAACACAAATTAAAACAAAATTATTATACTATAATTATTATTTATTGTCTATATAATTATTAAAAGGCATCCACGCGCATCGAATTTCTCATCTTAAGTTAAGTAAAATTAACTAAATAAAAATTGCAATAAAATTGCAAATTTCAGAAAAGTTTGCGCAGCAACAAAATACATAGTACTTTGATTTTACTTATCCCGATGAAAAATATCTTTGGGGAATGAACAAACATCTTACCGCGCGGTACACTCACGAGCCACGACACTTGCGAAGCAACAACAACCGACAGCACGAATAACCTAAGCTTCGTGAACATAACGATGAAAAATTCTCTTGAATTGGGGGGAGAGAGGAAGAGATAATCTGCACACGTGAGTGGTGGTGCAAGTTGTGTCAAGTTGAAAATAAAAAAAGAAAACGGAAAAGAGATCACACGTCAGATCGCCCGTTGAGCCACATCTAAACTTTCGCGAGGAAGGATTCAGCCTTATATAGGGGTTGATACAGTCCCACGGAGCAATGCGCAATCCAAACGCGCCCCTCGGAGGCACCTGCGAATGGAAAAAAAGAAAGAGAAAAAAAATGTTGTTACGTGCGTTAATTATGCTTCGTACAGATACAACTTACGAGATGAAAATAAATAAATTCTCTCAATCCTCGAATTTTATTCAGCAGCCGTGAAGGGTGGATTCGCAGCAATCGATTGTACAGCAATCAAGATTTCCTCTCAACCGATTTCCTCTCAAACAAAAGAAAAATGCCTTGCAGTTATTTCCGGGTTTCGTTCTCTAGCGAACACGTGTGAAAGGATCTCGTGTCAATTCTCGTGAAAATAAATGAAGCGAATCCGAGCCACGCTTCCAATTCCTGACAGCAATTTTATTGTACCGATTGCACTCATGGTGTTGCGGATCGTAACAAAATCACCTGTTTCTTTATAAACCATGCATTCATAGTCGGTTCTTATTTTAAAATCGTCTTAAGTATGTTTTAAAATGCTAATGCGGCTTTCTAATTAGTTCATAACATCTTAATTAAGACTGTACTTTACACAATCTTATAAATATAAGAACCGATTATAAATATTGGCCATAGATTTCTTAGACTCAAATGTGATTTTTTCCTTACAAATGCAATTGTATGATCCAAGATATATCGAAGGCGATTCTCGTTAGATCTAAAGCATTCTGTACGCGTACGCGTGTCTGGAAAATCCAAGACGCGAATCCATGTCGAAGTGCATCGATTCGAGATAGCGGTGGCTTCGCAAGAGCCTTTCAGCAGAATGAAGTTGCATTATGGCACGAGCCTGCGTTAAACCCCGAGGGATTTTCAGGATGTAATGGTACTTCTGTCAGGTATATAGAGGTACGCGAAGTTCTACAGCGTGTCTGATAGCGAGGATAATGTAAAGTTATGTCGGATTGAATCAAGAATGTATCTATGATTCTTCGAAGTTTTTGCAGATATCATCGGAAGAAAATTGATATACATAAAATACACAATATATTTGAGAAACTTAATATACGATACATAATATATATAATAGATCTATTAAGCCTACATTATTCGCTTGATTTTTTTTAACGTAATAATGTGCGTAAAATGTTTCTGGTATCCTACATTATATCTTTGTATTGTTCTTTTTGATGATTTATAATTAAATAATGATTGATCATATTCTATATATTCTTTAAATAAAAGTAAATGTAAAAAATGTTTAATTGTGAAACAATTTGCGCTAAATAAAATAATGTATATAAATAGCATGCATACATTTAACAAATTTAAATAAAGCTTAGAGATCTCAAGCGAGTAATATTTGAAAGGTTAATTGCAAAGTATTAAATGATATTAGAGAATATTCCAGATATGAAATTATAAATTAATTATAATTAATCTTATAACATTAATTATACACTTTTGTATAATTTGTTAAATAACTAAAAATTAGATTTATTATATTGTATAGAGAGAATTATATATATTAATATATTTAATTTTAATATAATATTTTATATTAAATTATATATGTATTAAAATAAAATTAAATGTAAAAAATATATATAATTTAATATAAAATCGTGTTACTCTCTAAAACTTTTAGAGTGAATTGTCTCTTTTTGAGACTCGATTCTCACTCTTTATATATATCTATTACATATCTATTATATTTTTTATATATCTATTTATATCTATTATATATATCTATTTTCATATTTTTTATTTTGTTAAGATTTTACTATCTAGTGTTCTATTTATCTACTACAGGTAGCCAGCACCTTTTATTAGCGCCTTATTTTTTTGCTGCATCTTTTCCTTTCATACTGTTTGTAATTATCCGATTTATCAATTTCAATTATAAGTACACAATAAATTTCTTATTATTATATCATTGTTATTAATACATGTTTTAACATTTTTATTATTATATCATTATTATTAATATCATTATATTATCTTGTAATTATCGTTTAATTTTAATCGTATGATTCTCAAAATAAAATAGAATATCATAATATCGAACTATATATTAATATTGACAATTCGAAAGATACATCACGTAATTGCGTATCACGAAATCCCCCCCCCCTCCTCTCCCCCGATTCAGTTTTCATCAAAAGACAGATGCTTAATACGTGAATGATGCGGCTTTACAAATAACGGTGTCGCAGGTAGCGAGCCATTTCTGTCAAAGAAAAACAGCGCAATACGACGAGCCTTCACAACTCAGCCAATCGACCAACAAGGTACTCTGGACACGAGCCAATCGGACAAGCTTTTTCGTAGCGAGTCTTCTCGATTTACGATATGACGTACATCATTTGATACACGTGCGAGCCAAATCATGGTTTTCCGAGACATGTTTGTTCATTTGAAAAATGACATACGTATAAGTATTGTCGAGCAATTTATATTAGGCAAGATAAATCTCGTGATATACAATATAATTTGTCCCAGACAGCACAAAATATTTATCATAAATATTTATCATAAATATTATTACTATTTATTCTTTGAAATGTTATATAAATATTTTAAACTTTTCATAATATTTACTACAACATTTCAATGAATATTTTATAATATCTATAATAAATGTTTATAATCTGTGCAATCTAAGACCGTCAAAATATTTTTAAACAAATCTTATAAATATTTAAAAATATTTTGTAAATATTTTATAAGTATTGTGTGCTGTTTTTTATTTTATGTCCTGCATACATTGACTTGTTTTTTAAAAACGTCAATAACAATCACGCAATTGTTATTTCAGTAACTCTTTCTATCAAGAATTTTGGCAGCTTATTTAACAATATTTGTTCTCTTTTAAGCGATGTCTTAAAGATTAAAGGAATTTCAATATTTATTTGTAAACATTTTTCGCCAAATAAAAAAGTTGAAGATTTTGTAATTATTTCAATGTCTATATCCTGATGAATGCAGTCCACTCAGCACTATAAATACTTTGAAGCATTTGATTAACCAATCAGAAGAAAAAATGTTACTAATTGACCAATCAAAAAGAATGCTTCAAAGCATTTATAGCCAGTTATTCTAGTGAATCATAGCCAAAATCGTAGTATTTTCGAAAAATCATTACACAATATGACATCATTGTGATATATCGATATTAAATATTTATAATAAAAATATAAAGTAAATTTAGCAAACTGAAACAATTTTTCATTCATGCCAATTATTTTTTTTATTAATAAATGAAAGTATGAGTACGCATTTAGTTGTGCTACTTTAAAGTAAAGTTTTATTTCTTGATATTTTGCTAATAAATACAATAATGTTTTCTGTGACGTTTAACAGAACAAGAAAAATTCGATGCTTACATGTTTGGACATTAGAGCATCACTATTGATACGAAAATGAATCATCAGACAAGAAAACAAGAACAAAGAGAATCAACACACAAATGTCAAAGCGCAAATAATAATATAATAGCAAAAAATAATAATTGCAACAACAAATAATAATCAATTTAATCATTTAATTTTCGTGTTAATCATTTCGGTTCAAGTTAAGCTTTTTTAAAAAAAAGCAAATCGAAGAGTCAGACTAAATAAATTAATAGAGAGCATTTCCGAGCTGTCGAAATAATTGAGACGCACGTAATAGCGGATGCACGTGTCAATGTTTACGCGATTGGTCTTCTTGCGTGAGAGAAGCGCATGTCACGAGATTATGAAGTGGCTATCGGATACAAACAGAAGACCGGATGTAAACAAACGTGGTCGTATCGTAACGAGATCATCTCTCAACTAGATACCGAGAACCTGTTGACTCTTTGCCCTCCATCCTCCTTTTTGCTCGGTGTCGTTGCACCGCGAGATACCTGGAGGCTATTAAATGCGTCACGCGACTACCTCTGGTTGGCCCGCCAGCGTCGTACGATCCTATTTACGATTTTACATAGCAAACGAGCCCACTCAAGCCAACTCACCGAGACATCACGTATTGCTTTCACGTGTAATATAAGAATCGAGAGAGTGCAGGCCGCGTTTAGTATCAAACGAAGAGACGTTACGATCAATACTGATTATATCGCTGACATATATTATATCAGTATATATATATATATATATATATATATATATATATATTTCTTTCTTCTTCTGTCATTGTAAAAATTGATTTGATTGAATCTGTTAATTTCTTTGATCATCGACAATCAAACGATTCAATTCTGTAATCGAATTGTAATTTTGATTATTTTGAGCTTCTACTGGCTCTACTGAAATATTTACGGAGAAGAATGTGGTAAAACAACGTTAAATGAATTATGTGATTTAATTGTACCTCGTGGCATTTGATTTAAATATCTCTGAGGAAGAAGGGATATAGAGAGAGTGTGTGGTGTCGATATAAAAGTATCGCAATTTGCAGTCTTCACAATGGCTTTTAATAGACATGCAAAGCACTGCCAAAAGTGTGTTTTGTTAACTAGGTAAGTGAGATAATTATATTTGATGTTAATTATTAGAATTAACTAGGTGTGTGTGTGTGTATATATATATATATTTGCATATGCTTTGATTTACAATGAATAATAAATTTGTTAGAAATTTGTTTTAATTTTATTATTGAAAATTTAATTCTATTGAAATGATTCTGGAATGATTTCGTCCAAGTCCTGTGATTTATTGAATAAACATGAATAGAAATAATAAAAATAATATTAATATTTATTTGGTAACATGAAAAAAATTCAGATAGGAATAACAAATTATATACAACTCGAAATTTTGTTGTAAATTTTTCTGGTTGATTTATAACTATTTAACGTTTATTAATTTTAATTTTGGTTTAATTTGTTTTTTTTCTTAATTCTTAGAATTAAAAAAAAATAAAGTCAAATTAAATTTAATCGAGATGAAAATTAATCTACTTTTGTAGAAATAATGGGCATGTCAATTAATAATACCTGTTTTTAATAATTAATGTAGATTAATTTTAATCTTGGTTTAACTTATTGTTTATCTTTTGATAATCCTAAAAATGATAAAAGATAGAATAAATTGAATTGAGATTAAATAAGTTAATCCAATGGAACTAGGTATACGTTATATCAAAGCTTGATCGAAGTTAGCTTAAATTATTGATTTAAGTCGCATGCGTCATCGCCAGTTGTAATTGCATCATTTCGCAAAATTATACGGAAATGCATATTACGTCATCACCTTAAATTATACTGGGTCAATTTTTTTTTTAGTTGAACTTCTTGCACAGTAATTTTTTTAGTTGAACTTGCAACAGTTTCTCTTTTTCTTTCTAATGTGAAAAAAAATAGAAAGATGAATCATACAAGTGAAATTCAGTTAAAAAGAATAGATCTACTGTCATTACAAGTCATTTATGCGTGTGACGTGCAATATAATTATTCTTGATGTTACCAAAATAGTGACACGATAATTGAATTATTATAGTAGATAATTTCCAGAATAAAAAAATTCGTATAAACTAAGCGAAGTGAGTCATGAGTCAGGTTAGGATCGAAAGAAAAACAGACGTTCGATATCTCGTATGACCAGCTGATTTTGACAGGTATAAATGTGTCATCAGCAACCGAATTCTGTTTTCGTTTATTTTCATTTAGAATCTGAATCAGTTAATACAGAATCTCGTAAAAAAGCTAAATATGCATAATAATTGCGGTCGCAAAATGAAAGGCGACGAGAAACGTATGTGTTATCTAAACGTTCTGGAATAATAAGGAGGTTATTTTCGACTTTGGTATTTCTTAGGCCAATATTCATTCAGTTTTGTTTTTATTTTAAGACCAG